ATGAATTAATTAAAGATTTGTCTGTTTATAATGTGATTAAAAACCTTATTAGTAGATTGTAGACCAATAGCTATTATTTAATAAATATTCTATATTAAAATATAATTATATAAATTACCTTTAGCACTAGTTATCGTTGATGATTCAAAGTAGTCATCCTGGTTTGAATCCTCAGCTTCAAATTGGAAATCTATAATTATAGAATTAATATGCTCATTTATATATTGTAAAACAATAAAAAATAAAAAATTAAAAAATTAAATTAAATTCATGAATCTTTTTAGCATAAGTGATATTATTTTAAAACAAATTAATTAAATAATATATTTTATTAATAGGTTACCTATACTAAAAGCGATCCAAATTTATAGTTGTTATACTATATTTATTTATCATATTTATTTTTTTTTAGTAGTGTGAATATCATTACTTTGTTGTTTTATCTCATCATGTTCTTTTTTATTTGCAATTAAACTATAAATAATAAATAAGCAAAATAAAATAATAAAACTTATTAATATTAAAAAAATATATGTTGTTGATTCATAGAATGACACATCATCATTTTTATTGCTCAATCATTAATACAATCTGTAAAGTCTAAATTGTTGGCTTTATACTATTAATATTAAAGAAGATTAATTTTAGTATCAAATTATAATCTTAAAATAAACAATTATACCTTATTAACTAGTGACTGTTTTTTAGTTGCACTTAATTTACAATACTCAGATGTATTGCAATCCCATAACTGAGCTACAAACTTATATATCGCATTCTTAAAATAATTTTATAATTAGTTTTTTAAAATTCAAATAAAGTAATCATTAAAGAATATAAACCAATAATACCCTATATGATGAATAAATTTTACTATCAAGTGATAGTATTTTTGATAATTTGTATCATTTTAAATTTGGAGGCTTCACAATTTAGAATTTTTTTGAAGATCTTATCTAAAAGGTTATAAAAAATTTTTTAGTAATCATTAATTAAATATATGTAAAGAAATATTATAGTAAAACTAATAAAGTGTATATAATATATAGGTATTATAGCGAAACCCATAAAGTATATATAAGATAAGGGGGTATTATAGTGAAGATAGATAAAGTGGTAACTTGCCACTTTACCTATTTTTGCTATAATACCTCCTTATACATTATATATTTACCTGGTTGGTTTCGCTTTCAGAATTATTTAACATAATGGAATGCATTTGCTTTGAGCTCTTATTATAACTTGTTCTATTCATTTTATAACTGCCAAAATTATCAGAAGAAATAACAGTTTTATAACTTTTTTGTTTTTTTGAAAATTATTTATTATGATAATCAGAATCATTAGAGTTGCTAGAAGTTTTAGCCAAGTTTTTTTTATATTATTTGTAAGGAACCTTATTGCAGTGTTGTACATTGGACATGTCCATACTATGTAAAATGTCCAATGTCCAAGGTTGTCTAAAATCGTCCAAGTCTATGTCCAAAATTTAAATAATCAATAAAGTATATTAAAAATATATATAATTATATATTTTTTTAGGTGCTGGATTCATTTATAAAAAAATTAAAATATATTATCTTAATAAAATTTTAAGTAATTTTAATTTAAAAAAATGTCCAAAAGTGTCCAAAAGTGTCTATATGACAACACTGCCTTATTGGTATTCATATTATTTGACAAATTGTTAGTTGTTTGGTAAGTACTTTTAGTTGAAACTTGAACATTATTAAAACTTTGTGTAATTTCAAGTCATTAAAGTTGGCGAAGTTTTTTATTTTCAGCTTTAAGAGCCTCTAATTGGTTTTTTAAAGTAATAAATTCATTATCACTAGTTTCCTCAATAAATAGTTTGTTATTATTTTTTGGGTTAGCTTTTTTATTTGTTTACTTGCCCTTTGGTATGATAATTGATGTATATATTTATGTAATGGAAGAAAAAGTAAATAATTTTTATCTTAGAGTTTATTTCGTATTTAAATATTTCAGTACAATCGGACTTTAAAGATTTGCATAATATATAAGAAAAAATACTTGCTTTATATTTCTTATAGTTTTATTGAAATTTGTATTGAAATTTATAATGAATAACAAATTGAACCTTATTAGCAGAAAAAGTGAAGCTTCTGTTATAGAACTAGATATTGAGCCCACTACTGATCATAATAATAAAGTGTATTGCAGATGTTATTTATATGCTGAAGAAGGTTATGATGGTGCTTGGGTTAGTAAAAATACCTAAACTAGATATATAAAAGCTCAAATACCTACTATAATATATACAGAACCATTAAGTTCAGAACTATTAGACAGTGACAGTAGTGACGACCAAGTTAAAATTTAGTTAAGTTTTTTTTTAAGATTGATCTGCAGGTTTATTATATAAGCATGTTTAATAATAACAATTTTAAAATTATAGTGAACCAAAACCTGTTTATAATTAAGATTTATTTTTATTAACATTAGATAATAATAATATTAGCGATAGCTATAACAATAATAATATCAATAGCTATAGCAATAATAATATAGAGGTGCTAGATCTTGATTCTGATAGTAATATGGAAGGATATAGAATTTTACAAGAAAATAGTAGCAATTCAGAAAGTTTTTCTAACTGTAATGAGTCTTTAAGTGATCCTGACTTTGAATATAATTACTCTTATGACTCTCAGAATAGTATAATTTTTTATTTTATTTATTTATTTTTTATTTTTATTTATCATTTTTGTCATTTTTATTATTTTTTTTAAATACTTTTAACATTATTATATTAGATTTGAATATAGCGAATGATGATATATCTGAGGAATTGGCTACTGCATTAAGATTATTCAAAGTGAAGGTTCAATGCAATTTAACAGATGAAGCATTTCAACAAACTATGATTGCAATTAATGCAGAACTAATTAGTTTACATGTAGTTAAAAAAAATTTGAAATCGCTTATAAATATTAGACCTATATGGACAGATATGTGTTCTAACTCTTGCTATGCATATACTGGAGGTTATAAAAAATTAACCAAGTGTCCAATTTGTAAATTAGATCAGTACTATTATAACAAAACCAGACAGCCACATTAGCAATTTGCATATTTTTCACTTGCACAATGTCTTATTATTCAATATAAAGATTATAATCGTGCTACAAAACTATAATATAGAGCTAATTATGCATCACAAAGGTCATATACAAATAACCACCAAATAGGTAATGTTTTTGATAGTATTCTGTATAAAGAATTAGTGCAAGATGGATACTTTCAAGATAAGTGTGATGTGGCATTATTGGCTTCAATTGATGGTTATCAAATATTTAGACAAAAAACTGATGACTGTTAGATAGTATTAGTAATTAATACAAATCTGGTACCTGAAAATCGGATTAAAAAAGAGAATCTTCTAATTAGTTTAATTACACCTGGGCTAAAAGGGTTTAAAAATCTTAATTCATTTCTTTTTCCTATAATAAGAGAATTAGAAAAATTAGAAGGGAAATATATTAAATTATTATTACAAATAATTAAGTTAATATTTCACTAATTTTAATTAATTTATTAATTTTACTAATTGTTAATTAAATTAATTTTACCAACTTTAATTACTAATTTTTAATTATTAGTAAGTATAAATTGCTATGATGCATTTAAAAAGAATATTTTATACTTTGTACTATAATAAGTAATTGGTCAGATGATACACTAGACTTAACGAAATTAATAGGCCTTATCAGGCATAATAGTTATCAAGGTTGTCATTATTGTAATTTAAGAGGTGTCTATATAAATCATATCTACTATCTTACAACTTCACCTAAGAACTTGAATTCCACAAGATATCAAGCATCTAATTTACCAAATTGAACACATGAAGAATAGAGAAAAAGACTTAAAATAATTCAAAAGGCCAAGCCTAAAAAAGAACAAAATGAATTTATTACTAATTTTGGTAAAATTTAAATTGCCATTAATAGGAATCAATGTAGAATCTACTTTGATTTTTATTAAATAGAAATCGAAATCAAAGTAGATTCTACCTTGATTCCTATTAATAGTAGCATATTTTTAGTTCTATAAATTCTATTATTATAGTAACAGATACTAAATATATATATCTAAATATATATATATATATATTTTATTTTTTTATTTTTTTTATTTTATTTTTTTAATGCAGGTATTAACAATCGTAGTATTCTTATTAATCTAACAACCATTAATTTTCCTAATTCATTTATTGTGGATATAATGCATTTATTCTATGAAAATATCGCAAAGTATATATTTGAACATTGGACTGAAATATTTTTTTCAGATGCATTACAGAACAATGAGCCATATGTAATAGCAAAAGCAGTTTGGTCAGATATTGGAAATAAGATGCATTTATTGTGCAAAGATTTACCATTAAATCTTGAAAGACCTTTATATAACATACTACTACATTACCATGGCTATAAAGCTAAAGAATGGGCAGCATGGATTATGATGTATTCACTTCTTTTACTTAACAGATGACTACCATTAGAATATTATAATAAATGGAGCCTTTTTGTAAAGGCTGTATGATTATGCCAAAAAAAAGTTATATCAGCACATGATTTAAGTTATATCAATAAACTTTTATTAAAGTTTTATACTTATTATGAAAGGTAATTTTCTAGTACATATTTATTTTTTAAACTCAAAAAGACAACTACTCTAGTAATTTTTAAGTTAAAATTGAATTCACAAATTTGATTATTCTTATACTTAAAAGTCAAACTTGTAAATTCAATTTTAGTCTAAGAATTACTAGAGTAATAGTCTTTTTGCATTTAAAAAAAAGCAATATAATAACACTATATATGCTTACTTTATATTTTTACTTTATATTTAATTTTTTCCTATTCATTTTATTATACTTACTAAAAAGTATTACAAAAATTCAATCAAACGCATTAGTGCAATGAAAATATGTATACATTACATGCTTCATGTATCTTCGAGTATTCAGCAAAATGGCCTATGCTGGGCAACATGGCAGTTTCCAATTGAACATATTTGCAGCATGTTACTACTACTTGCAAGATCATGATTATATCTATATAAAAATATTATTAATAACATTTATACTATTAAACTTTTTAATCATTTACAATTCTATAAAAAAATTAACCAAAAAATATTTCTTTTAAACAATAAAAAAGATTCAAACCAATTCATTTTCTTAGCAGATGAATATAAAGAAAAATTTCTCGATCCTACAAAACAATATATATTGAGCAATGCAGAAATTAAAAAAATAAAAGAGCATTATGTAACAAATTATAATATAAAGGCTAATCAATTACAGGTTAGTATTTTCATTTAAAAAGAAAAAAAATAAATAAATAAATAAAATAAATAAATAAATAAAATAAATAAATAAACAAAAATAAAAATAAATAAAAAGCAAAAAAAATTATTTGAATTAATTACTAATATAAAATATTTAGTTTTTTATATCACAAATACAAAAATTTGGCTGCTTATATACTAAACACAGAAATTGTATAAGATCTAGTTGGATTGCACAAAATCAAGACTGGGTACATATAAACTATTCAGTGCTAGTACATATGATATAATTATTAAATAAAAATATAAAGCACCATCAAGAGAAAACTTGTTATCAAACTTATAAATTTTAAAAATTTAATTATAAACTTTCTCTTGGAGACACTTATATATATATATATAACAAGCCTAGTATAATTATCAAGATTATTTATGTATAGATTTTAAATAAATTTATAATGCTAAGTAGCAAACATATTTTTGAGCATCAATTACATAAATGATTTGGATGGTTATACTAGAGAGGTTTTATGTATATCTTAATGCTAATAATATTATAAATATAATTTAAATTTATATAGAAATAGACAAGTATATGAATAATCAAAAATGTAAACCAGTATTTGAAACAAAACTATTTTATGGTAATATTAAATACTATTTGGCATACAAATTTAATAATAAAGATTGTATGCTAGCTTGCATAAACTGGACAACACTGGTTATTGAAGATTCTATGAGAACAAAATATTTTTATCAGTTTTCTGGCTATGATTTTATAGACATAACAACAATTAATCATTGTGTTGGATTTATTAAGATGGATAATCTTTATTATATTATTGATAAAGAAGTAAATGATATATAAAGATTAAAAATCAAATATAACATTATATTAAATTTTTATTTATAAAAAAATTATTTTAGATTAAATAATTTTTTTATATAGATATTTAAATAAATAATTTAATGTTAAAATAGTTATATGCAAT